TTCTGAAGTAATTATCATGATCCACTGTTCTTACGTGTTTATTCACTTACACCTTTCTCCTCCAGCTGCATTGTAAGCATCTAGAGCAGAGGTCGACAATTTTTTTTTCTGTAAAATGGCAGATAGCAAATATTTTAGACTTTGTAGGACATAGGGTCTCTATTTACATAATCTATGATTGTAACAAGAACGCAGCTACAGATAATACATAAATCAACAGGTGTGGCTGTGTCTCAATATAACTTTATTCATAAGCAGGCTTTTGGCTGCATTCTGCTCACAGTCCATGGATTGCCAATTCCCTGTAGGACCATTACCCTCTGTGCACTGTTCCCTTCCATGTTCTCAGTGCTTAGCGCAAAGCAGGTGCTGCACGTATTCACAAGGTTTTATCCTTACCGAAACCCTGGAAGGTGGACATTGTTATTTTCATTTATAGATGAGCAAAATAAAGCTCATTGAGGTTTACTAATCTACCCATACCCATAGAACTACTGTATTTGTCTCCTAGGGCTGCTGTAACAAAGTACTACAAACTGTACCAACTACTCAGAACAACAGAAATTTATTTTCTCAAAGTGTGGAAGACAGAAATCCAAAGTCAAGGTGTTAGCAGGGCCATGCTTCTTCTGAAGTCTCCAGAGGTGAATCCTTCCTTCCCTCTTCCAGCTTTCGGTGGTCCTGGGGTTCCTTGGTTCAGGGCAGCACAGCTCCACGGTCCACCTCTGGCTTCACGTGGCCTTCTTCTCTACACGTTCCTCTGTATCTTCAAGTGGCATTTTCGCCCCAGGTCTGTGTATTCTTTCCTCTTACAGTATAATCTTGCTTTAACTAATTTCACCTGTGAAGGCCCATGTCTAAATGAGGTCACATTCTGAGGTTCTGAGTAGATATAAATTTTGTGGGAAGACAGGATGAAGCCAACTACAACTTTCAGATGGTAGAGTATGAACTTGACTCCATTTTGATGGTCTTCCACTCAAGTTACAATCTCAGCTATTAACAGTTAATAGTGGTGTCCAGTTTTAGAGTTATTTTAAGAAAGGATGACTTGATAGTAACAGTGGAAAAGATAGCTAAGAAACTTGCCTTAAAGGAGTTTGTTTAAGTCATCATGTCTAACTAGTATCCTGAACATTAATGGTAGTGTCAACCAAAAGGGCATCTGATGCATACTGTATGAACAGAGATTTAAGATGTTTTTCTACAGATATCATTGATTGAGCAAAGAGAATCACATTGGAAGTTTCATGGTGTCTCTAGTTAACATCTTTGAATACCAGTTTTTTAAACCAGGACTTTTTCCAAAGCTTGTCTGAAGCATGTTTCCCCTTTTGGGGAAGAAACACTATACTGTGTTTCTATTACAGCCCAAACACATTTGGAAAATGCCAGGCCAAACCAATTAAAACAGATTTCTTTACTGAGGAAAATAATTGCTTCTTAACTCTTTTTATTTAAGGTGACTTATGAATTTGTAGAAGGGAGGTATTGTATGTATTTTTCTAGGTCCATTGAACTTTTCTGTAGAGTCTATTTAGGAATTAATCATGTGTCCTACACACTTTGGTACATCAACTTTGGGTGTTTGCTTGCTTATTGAAATTCAGATAAATTCTGCTTTTCTGGAAGTCAATTTGTATAAAGTTTATATGTCTCTTGGATTTTAGAAATTGGTTTTGAACCCCTCCATAATGGAGGGGTTAGTGATTCCCAACCAAAGGAGAGAGATCCTGATGGGTTATACCATGGCAACTACTAATTTATTGGTCAGTTCATTCATTCATTTTTTTCATTTCTTCATACATTTCGTATATACTTGTGGTGTCCATGGACGTAGCTATGAACATAAAAATGATCAAGATCAGACTTCTTTTTATTAAGTCATCCAGATAATGCACAAAAATCACCATTTTCCAAAGTAATTTTAATAAATGGAAACTACTGGCCTGAATTGTGCTCCCCACCCCCAATTCCTAATATCTTAGACTGTATTTGGAGATAAGGCCTTTAAAGAGGTAATTACAATTAAACGAGGTGATACGGGTGGCGCCCTTGTCCAATAGGAGTACTGTCTGTATAAGTAGGAACAGGGATACCGGGGAGGTCATGCCGGGAGGAAAGGCCACGTGGCAGCGAGGCGGAAACAGCGTGGCGGTCTACAAGCCAAGGAGAGAGGCCTGGGGGCGGATGGGTGGGGGTGGGAAGGAATCAAACCTGCCAGCATCTTGATTCTTAGATTTCTAGTCTCCAGAACTATGAGAAAATAAATTTCTCTTGTTTAAGCACTCAGTCTGTGGAATTTTGTTACAACAGCCTGAGCAAATAAGAACACCATTGTTAATTGCTCATTAGGCCTTCGCTTTTAAGAGATTTATTCAGCTAGTTCTAATGTTCATTGAGGCTTCATTTCCTTATTTGTATTTAGAGGAATTTCAGGGGGACCAGCTTGACTGTAAACCTCTTGAAGACAAGGCCTTTGTCTGTTGCATCTCCACCCGACTAGCAGACTCAGGCATCTGACAATCAGTGTGTCATCTACATCTCTGCTCCCCTCTGTATGTGAATAACCGAGAGCTGGCCTAATACATTTCTTGGAAAGAGCAAGAAATAGGAAAAAGAGAACTTCAAAGTGCTATACACATAGGTAGATGCTTCAAATTTGTCTCCTCATTAATATTTCTGTTTTAATAAAGATTTTATTTATTTTTAGAGAGAGGGGAAGGGAGGAGAGATAGAGGGAGAGAAACATCAATGTGTGGTTGCCTCTTGCACACCCCCTACTGGGGGACCTGGCCTGCAACCCAGGCAGGTGCCCTGACTGGGAATTGAACTGACAACCCTCTGGTTCCCAGGCCAGTGCTCAATCCACTGAACCACACCAGCCAGGGTCTCATTAATATTTTTTTCTATTTTGAAATAAATATCTTTACCCCATTTTTCAGATGAGAATACAGACATTTAGAAAGGACGAATGATTTCATCAAAATCATGAAATCATTGGTAGGGCCAGAATTCAAATAATTCCTCCTACCTCCCTAAATATATGCTGAAGGGACCAAGTACAATTTTTTAAACTGAAGAAGAGGAGAAGAGGTGCTGATTAAAGTCATTTCATCAACTGCTTAATTAGAGGAGAGGAAAAAAAATCTGCCAGGCAGCAGCACTTATGAAAAAGAGCTAGATATTTTAGTGGCTTTTGGGCTTATTTCAGTGATATCCTCATTACGGACACAGCTACCAAAAAGTTGGGCCAAACTTAAGTTGTGCAACAAATAATGATTAGAAAGCACTAGTAAGTGCCCACCACTGTTCATGGTTCTTTCCATGTGTTACTGATACCGCTGCTCGGAAAGGCTAGGGGAAAACTGCAAAGACTCGTGACTACAGTGACCGGCTTTGAAGTCACACCACAGAATGACTGGTGGGGGAAACTGGGAAGGTTTACTCTGGAGGAAACTGAAGGTGACATGATGGACAACCCAATTAGTTGATTTTCAGGTGGAAGAGAGATTTAGACATAGGAATAGATTTAAGTGGTTAAAAGCCTTCCAGTCTTGAAAATATTCAAACAGGTGGATACCATGTAGAGGCAACACCTGTATCAATGGGAGATCACGTGGTTACAACCTTAAATTCCCTAAACTGGAAGATTTTGGGATTTTTTTGATTCATAAATATCATCATCTTCTTTTTCTTCCTTCACTAACAAAATCAGGATTGGAGGGAAAACCCGGGGTGCTAGATTCCTCCTGTAACTACAGAATAAATTCCCTAGGAGGGAGCATATCAATTCTCTCATCACCACTGATAAAATAAAATTGTCATTCAATTTGAACCCTTCTCTATATTGTTTCTTTTATAATCATGCGAACAAAATGTGGTCTCCAGATCTCAAAGTTGATAACATGACTTTTTAAAAAAAATGATTGTCTTTATTATCAAGAGAAGCTTGTTTTTTATGTCTATCACTGGGCCAGGCATTGAGCAGAAGCTTCTTACAATATGATATGTTGGGTGGTTTTTCTTACCTGGGATCAGTATTTCCTGAGGAGTACCCACAGAGGCTAAGAAGTGAGTACGTGATGATAGTGAGCATCATTAGAAAAATTAGAGTACATAATTCATTTGCAAGCACAGGAGAAGTGTGGTACGTGATGTGATAGGGCTACCCACAGCTGAGAATGACAGATTAAAGAGTTGCAGTGTTGTGGGGCATCTCGAGGAGAAATTAGAATAAACTGCAGAACAGCCCTACGAGGATGGGGCAAGAAAGATGCTGCATAGAATGCACCCAGAAAACTCAGGCTGTGGGAGGTGTGTGTGTGCGTATGTGTATCAAAATTATTTTTAAAATTACCTTGTTGTGGCTAGAGCTACTTGACTCGTAATGAGAAAGCTATGGTCTCAGAGATGAAAAATGCATCCCAAGGTGTTCCATCCTGCTGTTTAGAACACTGTGGGTACTCAAGTAATACGAATGCTCCACTATGAAGATGGTATCAAGGATGGTGATGATTAAGGCAATCCATGGCAAAACAGGGATGGGGGGCATGATACAGAACAGAAACCAAGAAAGGAGGATGACTCACGGGTGAGGGGTACCTGGGGATAGAGCGATGTGGGGTGCACGTTGGCGAGCTTGGGGGAGCGGCTGGGGCACGCGTGGCTCGGGCCAGGGGAGTGGGCGGGTGGGTGCCCGTGGGCGGAGCGGCTCCGGGACCGAGCGGCTGGCAGCTGTGCCTGCGAGAGCAGCAGCATCACCCGGGAGCGAAGCCTCGGAGACTCCGCCTAACTGACACCCAAACTCTCCCTCTCCCTCCTGCAGCCCCAAACTGGAGGCAGCCCTGCCTGGGAGCAGCCGCGGCCCCGGCCCCGGCCCCGCCCCCGCCCCGCGCGTCCAGCCCGCGACGCCCGGGTCGGCGGAGCCCGGCGCGAGCCCTCGCCCCCTCGCCGCGCCCGCCGCGCCTCTGCCTGCCCGCCCCCGCCGGCCGAGGCTGGGCTGCGGGAGGCGGCCGGGCAGCCCGGAGCCTCGCTAGGGCGACCAAAACAAAGGCAGCATCCGGGGCTGGGTGGATGCAAACAACCATGAAAGACTGGGCTCGCCGTTTCCCCGGCTCCGCCGCTGCCGCCGCGGCCGGGAGGGCGCCGCTGTGAGGGGAGCAGGGGCGCAGCTGCTGCTGGGCGTGAATCCGAGAGGTGAGAGCCCGGGAGCCCGAGGAGGGGGCTGGCAGGCCATGAAAATGTCCTCGGCCGTGGGGCCCCGCGGTCCTCGCCCACCCACGGTGCCTCCCCCCATGCAAGAGCTGCCCGACCTGAGCCACCTGACCGAGGAGGAGAGGAACATTATCATGGCAGTGATGGACCGGCAGAAGGAAGAGGAGGAAAAAGAAGAAGCCATGCTCAAGTAAGCCACCCCCTGCCGCGCCATCCGAGCCTCCGTGCCTCCGTGGGTCCATTCACCACTCACTCACCCAATCCTCGCGGCCGTGTGGGGGAGGGGGCGGGCGAGGGTGCTGGGTGCGGGCGGAGGCGCCCGCCTTGGGGCCGGGGCGCTGGGCACGAGCAGGGCAGGGGTTGAGGGGTTAGGGGGAAGGAGAGGATGCCACCGAGTCCAGAGCCCAGGACCCAGGAGAGGATGGCTTGAGACTAGGGTGCAGAGAAGGGTCGGGTGGACGGAGACCACCCTGAGGCTGGGATGCGCAGAGGCTGAGAAGAGCCGATCCCACCCATGTGGACGGGCCCTGGGCGGGGTGCAGGTTAGTGGGCAGGGGGCCAATGGAAGGAAGGGGAGGGGGGAAGGAGAGGTGCTGAGAATAGCGCCTCTTCTCTTCTTGGAGTTGTTTAGCAGGGTTACCCCAGTGAAGGCTGTCAGTATTTTCATAAGAAAACTGCTTATTTTTAGTGTTCATTTTGGTACTCATTCATCTCACAGATCAAGGTTGGGTCTTTTTTGGGGGGGGCAGTGCCATCTTGGGTACCCTGCCTCCCAGCTTCTTTTTTGACCTTTTATTCACCGTCTTTTACACAAAATACCTATGTGAAGACACATTTTCTCACCCATATGTAATGCCTTTGGCAATGGAAAGTTTTTAATAATGGGAGAAGCTGATGGGAACTCTAGTCAGAGTAAAAGAGAGGTTCCTATTTCCTGGTTTCCAAGAGACTTTGGGGCCCGCACAGTTCCTGGTGCAAGTAGGAAGATAGGGGACTGCACATTTGCACATACCTCCCCCTTTTAAAAGCCCATCAACCCTTTAAGGGATTCCCGTCCAGTGTCCCATTTTCCTGTGTCTGGGGAGGGGATGGGGCCCCTGGCTGGTGGTGCAGGCGTGTGTGACACTGTGCTGCTACAAGGTACTGGCATCCAGAGTTGGTTGTCCTTGCTCCTTAGCATTGCACCTGGAGTGGACCCAAAGGAGCCTTCAACATCTCCCTCCCTTGGGAGGACTTCCTGTGTTCAGGAAAGTTTTCAACTCAGGGGTGAGGGAATTTAGAGACCCTGCAGAACCAAAGGGAACCTGTTGCATCTTGTTTAGCTGATAGCAAAGAAGAGGTAGGGAGGCAACACGGGTGAGGTAGGGAGGCAACACGGGTGGCAGGCAAGCACCGAGCACGCCCAGCATGGCCTCTCGCCCAACCCCCAGGATTGCCTCCTGGAGAGAAGGTGCTGCCACCGAGGGCTTCTTCTGCTTCCCCTCAGTGCGGCAGTGCCTCCCAGGACAGAAGGGAGGGAGGCTGTCTTCACAGACTGCTGGGTAGACCAGTGTAACTACTACACAGACGGGAGAGGACTATCGAGGGAGGGCTGTGGGTGTTGGGTCACAGCAAAAGGGTAGAAAATCCAGTCATTACTGTCCTTTCCTTGTAGACTCAGAAAAGGGCCATGAACTTGGAAGGCCAGAGCTGGCCTTGTTCTATAAACAGCAGCAGGTTTCTGAATTCCCTGCTCCTTCTCATCCAAAAAAGCGAATACTTTAAGCCTGCCGGCTTGAGGGAGGCAGAACCCTCGTTAATCTGCTGCCTGTTCCTAATGGAACAATGACGTCCCTGGTGCTGCAGGCTTTCCCTCTTCTGAGATTGGAAGTAATGGATGGTGTTGTCTGATGGTGCTGCCGTCTGTCTGTCTGGTTGTCAGTCCGTCTGTCCTCAGGGGTTGTAGCCATGGCCACTTGTCCTGGGCACCTTTCCTGCTGCTCAGGATTTACGGGTTTGCTACTGTTCGTTTTGGTGTTCGCTGCACACCAGCAGGTGGATCGAGGCCTCCAGCAGCCAGTGAAAAGCACAGGCTGGCTGCCTGACAGGGTCCGAATAGGAAGGGGAAGGCACAGTGCAAGTAGTGGCCATCTCGCCCAGTCATTGGCTGGTTCAGGGATGGAGGAGAGCGAGGGATTTTAAGTGGGAGAGGGGGGAGTTTTAAGACAGAATCTCAAACCTGCTAACTGCCTAAGGACAGCAATGATAAGATCGTATGAGCTTTTATAGATGAATAAAAATCAGGAGCACTGTCCAACTGCTCTCATCTTTCCCGCTGCTGTTCCTATCACTGCTACCCACTGGCTTGCGAATATTGTTTCTTTATAGCAAGGATTCACAGAATATTGCAGTATATGCTGCTGTTATACAACAGCCTTCTATAATCCCTAACCTCTACATTAACTTTATCAATCAGCCTCCACTGCTAATGTCTTGGCCTTTGTGCAGTGCCACATCCGTGAGTGCTTTGGAATACCAGTTTGCTGCCATGGAAGCATGTCCGCTTGGCTGCAATTAGTGGAACAGCGCTGTGTTTTTTTTAGAGTGCACTTTGTGTCTTAAAAACGGGATCACAGGGGCTATTCAGATGACACATACCTATATATGGAAACTTAATGACACAGAGTGAAAGGTGTTGGCCTTTACTGAACTTTGCATAAAAATAGATTGGAAAACAGGATGCTTTCCACAGGGTCTTGAAATATTTGTTAAATCAGAGATAAGTTTTTGTGGTGATGCCCAGTTTCCCATGTCACATATCTGAGAAATTCACAACACATCAGGCAAAGCTCAAGTTCTGGTAACGGAGCAATTAGACCTAAAATTCACATTTGTCATCGCTGCAGAGCCATGGCCTTGCACTCCCTTCTATGCTCTCTCTGTCTTCACAATGCATAAAAACAGAAACTAATACATAGAAGATAGAATAGTCATGGGTAAATATGCCAAAGAAACATTACGAAATATCAATTAAAATATAGTCATATAGTTTCATCAGCCTTGACTGTAAATTACTACTTGGTCTTAATAATATCTTTAAATGTGTGTAAATGGAAGAGAATAGTTAAGCTACCTTCATCTCAAGTTTTCAGAAGAAATGTATTTGAATTGTAAGTACTTTCTTAGCAAAGTACACTGATTTTAAATACCATTGGTATATTACAAGAAATAGTTGACTCCTGGAAATGATTTTTAATGGTTGATATAATTATTTAAAAAGAAGAGGGCTTTTCTTAATCTTAGTGGAGTTTTAGGGTACGTGTGTATGTGTTCTAGAGACTTTTTTAAACCTAACTTCCTCAATGAATACTCTTCTAAGTCACTCTCACCAGACACAATGAGCCAATGTATTACATTAGTTGAAAATTGCATTATCTGGGATCAAATCAGATAAGATCTCATTAGATCTAAAATCTTATTCTTTTTTTTGTAAAAGCTTCGTAGAGAAAGGAGCTATATAATAGAATAGTAGAGAAGAGAAAAAATAAAAATAGAGTTAAAGGGATGGCTTGAGAATGGAGATTGAGAACCATATTAGAATATTTAATAAAACTACTAACATTTATTGAGCATTTACCTCATGCTGGCCATTATTATAAGTGGTTATTAACTTACATGCCAAATAGTCGAACTATATGCTCAAGTTCAATACATGTGTATTTGAATTCTCACAACAGCTTGTACAGAAGGTAAGTTAGGTCATAGGATCCTCAAATCCTCATGTTACGCTCAACGAGTTCCAGTGGTACCCTCAGCTGACTCACGTAACATGGCCCAATCAGAGGGCCTGCAGCTTCACCCACACTCTGTTTAATAGTTTTCCTGTGGATTGAGGGCAGGGGAATTGTCTCCAGCTCAAAGACAAATAAAAAGCACCATGGTAGAAAGATCACCCACCTTAGATCCAGGCATTTTAGGGTTCTAGATCTAGTGCCACCACTTACTCTGGAGATGTGGGCAGGGATATTAAACTGGGATTCCAGGAGGTTCCATTTTTCTCATGAATCCTGCAATTCATGGTGTGAATTCGTTTACAAAGAGTATTGACTTTGGATTTCTCTTCTTAACGGGAAGCCAGATGCTAACTTTTCAAACATCCGTAATATCTACCTCCTTTGTGGGAGGAAAAAGTAGAAGGAGTGAAACTCTTACGACTTCAACTTTTCTTTCTCCATTTTCTCCCTCCAAGCAATTATAATATTGTGGCCTGAAATGTATCCATAAGGCTCAATATGAGACACCCCAATTAGCAGCTGGGAAAGGGTAAGGATAGAGTTCCCACGTATGAAGGTATCATGCTTTCATTGAGGTTCGCAGATTTTCATATTGTACACTCCAAAATATTCTGTCATTGCTGAAGCAAGGTGGGTAAGAAGGAAAAGAAAAAAGGCACAGGTAGTGAGAGAAAGTGACCAAACAATGAGCAGGGGTCTGCTAGTTCCGAGGAGATACCATGTGAAATAGAAAAACTTTGGGGTGAGAAAACTTACGACATTTTACTTGGAGCCCAGTACCCTTTACATCATTAATGGATAGGGTTAAATTTAAGGAAGGTTAACTCTGAACTCTACTGGTGTTTTCCACTTTCAACAAAAACCTGTCTTAGTAAATGTGCATGCTCAGTATTGAGTTCTCAAATACTCATGGAGAAAACATAGAAAAGGGCAACCTAAAAAATGAGAGAAGTGAGGTGTGAAGGGGAATGGAGGGTAAGAGACATAACCATTAATTCACATTTTTTGCCAACCTGCCTTGACTTTCTTTCAACTTGTATGTGTTCCTTCTTAACTGGAACTTAGGGGGTGCCGTTGTTGAAGTAAATAGATTACAAATTGGAGGCAGAGTATGGAAACCTGTGTGGGCTCAATGTGCCGCTGCTGACTTGGACAGAACCACTACATCTTGGGAGTGTTATTTCCTCAGCTTGTTGAATGGGGAGAACAATTTGCGTTCAGTGTGTATAGTAAGCTTCCTGGAAAGATATCAAATATGGGAATTCCTACAATAATACTGTTCTTCTCCCATATCAGTAATATGCAGATGGATAGATTTTATTGTACCATGGATTATAAAGTCCATTGTGTTGCACTTCATTTTATCTTTATGGGCTATTTTATATCTTTAAGTAACTCTTTATATTTTGTCCTGTGA